TGTTGACTGACCTATTCTTATTCAAAGATGAGCAAGGCCGTCTGCCTTGTACTGTAGTTGTTCCATTCTTATGGACTAAAAAGATGTACCCTGATACCTCAGAGAGAAGAGGCACAAAGACAGCCGTGGAGCCCTGACACCAGAGCTCCACGTGGTGCAGATGCTGCCACCAGCTCCGTCCCTTCAGAGGCAACCCAGGAAAGACTTTGACAGGGCTTAGAAAGCTTTCCTCTTAGATGATGTGATACTGAATTCATTGCATGGGCCTGATAACACTGTAAAAATGACAGTTGAATTTCTCTTTTTGATAAGCTTTAGATGAATGCAATAGGGTAAGATGATAGAATGGAGAAAATATACCCAGTAAAATGGACCCAAGGACATAAAGCCAAACAAACCTGTTATGTCACGTGGCCTTGAATCTGAGGATTTAGGGAGGATTTAAGTTGGTAGCAGTGTTTAGCCAGCCCAGGGCAGCTCCTCCTTATCGTTACCTCTGGGTATCTGGAACGTCATTGAACCAGTCCCTGCAATGACTCCCTGTGGGTGAAGGTGACTCCATCCATCTACTGTGACAGATTTTGGAGTCCAATACAGATTAACCCCCCCCATTTCCAAATCTCCAGTTCATGGTAGTTATATGAGAGTTTTACCTTTTTCCACAAGTGTGGTGCTGGGGAGGGGATAAGAAGAACTTTAGGCCACAGGGAAAGAAGAGAATCAGTGTGAACGCTGTCCCCATCCTGGGTGTCCTGGATGCTGGGAAGCCAGTGACCTCCTGCATGTCTGACAGCAGTCCCAAGGCATCTGCTGTTTGGATGTCAGTCTCTTCTTTCAAGGAGAAGAGAGAGCTCTCATTAGATACAGAGTTGGTTCTGCCACTGTTGATTATTTAAATTTGAAGTGCCTCTCAGGGGTGTCAGAGCCTAAAAGGAACGTTGCAAATAAACTCTCTGAAAGATCATCTTTTGCTAGTAGCTGAGCTTGTTCTTCCCCTTATTTTTATTTAAAAACTTTGCCGAGTATTTGTTTGGTACACAGTACAGTGACAACCAACACATATACTTAGCCTCATGGATCTTGCTATAGTGAAAAAGATGCACAGTTGTTAGAAAGATATGTGTTACCATTATGTACAAGTTGTGGCACTTCCAGGAGGAAAAGGAAAAGGAAAACGACATGTTGGGAGACCCCAAGACTACCCTCAAGTTCAGTTGTTTGCTAGAAGAACTCAGTGTATATGCTCAGGGATATCACTGCAGCAAATGAGCATTAAAAAGTCGAGGGTTAGGGAGATGGCTCAGTGGAATAAGCACTTCCCTGGCAAGTGCAAGGGCCTGAGTTCAATCCCTGGTTCCGCCAGAAAATAAACAGTTGAGTACAGGTGCATGGAGCACATGTGGGAGAATCTAGGCACAAGCCCATATGAGCCTCCTCCCAGAGATTCCAAAAATGTGCTGAATCCCCCCTCACCACAAAACAAACACATGCAAAGATTCTTAGGAAAGGCCAGCCAAATAGTTCAGCAGATTAAAGTGCCTGTAAGCAGGCGCAGGGGCTGGGG